CGGACTCACAAGAGGTCCTACCACCAGTGATTACGCAAATTATAATTTTGCGGGTTTGATTTTTATTACACGATGTTATTCCTTCACCGTGGAAGTCAATCGTGAACATTTGTTAAGTACGTATTTCATTAGAAAAATTGGTACCCGCCTGCGGGATTCGAACACCGGTGCATCGCTACATACGAATACACCGGACGTCTTATCCGTTAGGCCACGACGACTTCAGGACATGGCTTGTGGACATGAGCATAGCCAAGCCGCTTCCTCTCGTAATATTTTGTTATTAGTAAAGGACTTATCACAACGTTCAGGACACACCTAAGATTCCAACTCGGAGATTAATGATACTTGACAGAATTGATATGTGACACTAGATTGTGAAGACACGAAGTTACAGGTCATAGATAACGCCAAAATCTTATAATCTTCAGAAATATCGTTTATAACGTTTTTTTTGTTAGTTTGACCCGATCTAAATAATGGAACCTATCAAAGTATCATAATTTAAAAAAAAAGAACACAAAGTAGAACTTAAAAATTTGCACACGCTTATCAGAAGCTATGGCGATACAAGAATTTTATAACCGTGGTCTGATATGAACAGAATTAATAGGGCAAATAATTATGATTTTAATTTTAAATTCGGTTTTCTATTAAGACGTTTTTTTTTTAGGTATTTTTAATATTTAGGGATGTTATCCATTGGTTTGTGTTCCACTTGTTGACTCTTCATTTATCTGATTGAATTGATGCTTCGTACTGTCTGATCTTTAGAAAATGATTCTTGCTTAATATTGTCAATGTACATTTTCACGTTAAGAAAATAATGACTACCTACCTATGCTGATAACTTTGAGAGGCTATTTCAGCTTCACCCTAACATGTAGGCGAGCTCACGGGACTCAAACCAGAAGTGTTGCTAACACTGGCCCTAGCAAGAGCAGTGCTTCGCAGAATCTACCACAGGGTCGGAAATACGACCCACTGAGAAGATCCGGCGAGAAACTCAGTGGGCTAACTCTAAGCTCAGTGGATTAATTCGCTCGTCGAGCCCTAAAAAGTATGACAAAAACACCCCTTCTCCTCTTTGAGGATCTCAACAGAAACATCAAATATTCGTCTTCAAACGCCATTAGCGTGAATTTTGCAGAGTTAAAAGGCTGTAGAAATTCCTCTAGTTCTTGACCAGGATTCATCCGTCATATTTGTCGCTGTCAAACCAAAATCTGCTATGTGCAATGTACAAAAGTGGGTGGCGCATTTACGTTGTAGATGTCTATGGGCTCCAGTAACCACTTAATACTAGGTGGGCTGTGAGCTCGTCCACCCACCTAAGCAATAAAAAAAAACTATTTTGATATAAGGAGTAAAAACATTTTCGTATAAAATTTTATATGAAAGTGAATTTTTAAGAACTATATCAAATGGAAGCTATAGATAAATATTCAATCTATATAGGTACACATAACAGTTTTTTTATACGGTAGGTATAGGGCTGTGAACTATACGAAAAGGTCACAAAGTAAAAATCTCAAAAAGTGCACATAGCCGACTTTGGTTTGACAACGACGATATAGAAAATGTATTGCATCAGAAAACTATCAAGTAACAGAACTGCTGATAGTAAACCGCGCAAGATTATAGTCGACGACGACTGACTGCTCAAATCACATAATATTCTAATGCATTATCGAATGATACGTCGGTTAGTTATATATCGATGTAAGAATTCCAAATTCGATACTTCGAACTATCATTGTTTCTGTATTCAAAACAAATGCACTTCCAGAGGTAACATCACGCACAAAACGCACACACACACACAAATACACACCAATACGGCGTATTTACTTTATACGTTTGACACATGTCAAAGTTGACACGAGCGATATTGACACAAGTTTTTTTTTTTTTTTTAATTTATGACCACATTTTCTATTGATAAGATTTGTTTTCAAAACAACAAACAAGTGGTGAAAGACAAAGGCAACGTGATTGCAGCGCGACGTATCGATATCAACTATTATTGTAATGAATTATTTCATAGAGGAATAACGTCAGTGATTAAAAGTCTAGATGTGACTTTGTTTTTTTCGTTTGTCATCTCCCACGGCGGGCCTTCGTCTGAGAAGGCTTTTATTTATACAAAGCCACACAAAAATAATTTTAAAAATAAATAAAACTATTTTTTTTTACTACCTCCAAGTGAACCCTGATTACGATCCACTTCAATCGATCAAAATCAATTTCTATCATTAACATTTTAAATTAAAACTACCTTAACGATTTGATCACGTAGATTCTAATTCTTTAGATTAAAATGACGACGAATAAAATATAACACTTTAGCGCGCGACCAAGAAAACTGTCATTATTCTAAACGTCAGTAAATAATATTATAATGACAATAAAGAACCCGAGATTAAACTGTAAAAGTAATTTTAACAATTTGACTACGTGGCGCACTGAAGTAATTACTGATCTGTGGATTTTGATTACATTTAAAAAAAACACAGTGTTTACAATTAGCCTCGTTAAAGTTAGTTAAAAAAAAGAAACTAACATGATAATTTTTTTTATTGTATAAATTAGCGAACGGGCTCACCAGCCCACCTGCCCAACTCAACATAAGTTACCAGAACCCATATACATCGTGAATACCACCTTGAGACATGAGATATAAGACTCAATTCTAAAAGGCAACGTCTGTCCTACCCTCTTAAAACTGGACGCAGCAGTGTATTTCCCGGCAGTGTGTGTGCCCTACCCTCAATTTCACTTATATTCTTATCGTGACGCTTCTGCGCCTGCAACTAATCTATGTCAAATCGTACGAGAGCGATTGTGGTACGTATTATAAATAAACAAGTGACGTTAGGTGTCAAACGAGAAACAATCTTTCGGTGATAATTACTCGATAAGTGGCTCGTTTTTAGATGGACGTCGCAAGTCGCTACGGATTTGTTCGGTCCGAATTAGGACATGTTCAAAGGAAACTACTGCTACTAAAAGGCTACGGGAGAAGATCACGCAGACGCTCACCTATCCGCTGGTCTGATCTGCTTAAGACGCTCACCGGCCAGCCAATAACCGAGGCTATAAAGACCGCTGAGGACAGGAAGACGTGGGGAAGCATTGTGGTCCACATTTTAGATTAGACACGAACTTCAGTAATGAAGAGACCGACTCAGAAGAAGAAGAAAAGGGTACTAATTATAAAGTTTTCCGTGTGAATTAGATTTCGGTGTGACCGCTTGCGATACTATGATTTTTTAAAATACCCGATCCTGTGGACCGAATGGTAAGCAGTCCACGTCGCCCTAAGCACGTCATTACGGAATCTCCCGATCCGTTAACGGTGCTTTTAGGTACCTCAAGTACCGGTCAACGTCCTCGTCGAACCCGTTGCTTGCGACGAAGGGCTCGACGAGAAAATTAAACCATAGACACAGCCCACTGACTTTCTCGCCGGATCTTCTCAGTGGGTCGCGTTTCCGGTCTGGTGGTAGATTCTGCAAAGCACTGCTCTTGCTAGGGCCAGTGTTAGCAACACTCCCGGTTTGAGCCCCGTGAGCTGACCTACATTTTGGATGAAGTTGAAAGAGCTCCTCAAGGCTATCAGCATAGGCAGATAAAAAACTGTTTTTTTTTTGTTAGAATCATATTGCAATGAGTAAGTTAAAATTCTGTCGAACCCCGTGGAGGTAGGCGAATCAATATGGACATACACATACGCGTCGACTGCGTTATGCGGTTAAAAATCCCCAAGTTTTTTTTTTATTGCCTTTGTAGGCAGACGGGCATACGGCCTACCTGATGGTGAGTGGTTACCATCGCCCATGGACTTCAGCAATGCCAGGGGCAGAGCCAAGCCGCTGCCTACCGCTAAGTGCGACTAACTCCTGGTCTACCATTCAAAACCGCGTTCTTTCGCTCGGTGCTGAGGACGAGTTTGTTTACATTTTATGGGTATGGGTATATTCAGGAAAAGAGGCCTATTAGGTCTCATACGCATTGGCTGAAAGTCGCTGAAAAATAGTCCCGCAGTCAAGGGGTTATGACGTCAGTGCCATTAAAAAGTTGTCGTGCGCGAGAGAGGGAAAGAAAGATAGGGAGATATTTCTGAGATGGTCTTACATTAATCGCTACAGTAATTTTGAAGCTCTTTTCACATACTTACTTCCGTGGTCATCTGGCAAAAAGGTAATCTTCCTAATCAATATACAGAATCAAAAATTAACATTTCCTATTCAAAATTGGACCGACGACCTATTGAGGTTAGCGGGGATCCGCTGGACGTAGGCAGCGTAGGACCAGTATTTGTGGCGAGGCTAGGGGGAGACCTATGTCTAGTAATGGACGTCTGTGGGCTGATAGAATAGAATACAAAATTAGTCTCACGTAACTGTGTCCATGATTACCCAAGCCAGCTAGATGATTCTAAAGTATTTTTTAGACTGGCCATTAACTGTTTCCAACCGTATTTAAGCAAGCAGAAGATTATCAATTCGACTGTGTCTTATGTTATGTTACTTCATTTGTACGTGAAGCGATTTTTATGTTTTTTATTTTAAGTAGTTGGGTGTTTTAATACGCTTTTATTAGCTTCAGACGTATGTATGTTAGTATGTATGTATGTATGTAACGGAATCTCTGAACATGATTTTGACCCCCTTCAAAACGTCGGATTAACTCGAAATTTGGTATACTTATTAAGAATCGATGACAATTTAAGATTTAAAAAAATTGAACAAAATTTATTTTTCACAGTTTAACAAAACTATTATTTATTTTTTAGTTGAATTTAATTTTTTTCAATTTTTTAAAATTTAGATTTTCTATAAAAGCGTGTTTTTTTAGTTTTGTTTGAAACTATTATTTATTTTCTTGAATTTCACAGTATCTGTAGTATAATCTCTTTATATATCATTATTTAATTAGTATCCGCTGTTACATACAAAACAATGAACCCAAATAGATTGCAACATCAAAGAACTCACCCATGATCTTCTTCGGAGGCACCTTCTTCTGATCTTTATCTTCGCTGCCGTCTCGCCTCATTTTCTCGGGCTGCCACTTCCGCTTCCTGCCCTCCCTGCTCTCCTCCAGGTACATGCCCAATTCGTCCTCCCTCCCGACCATGAGTCTAACTGTAGATTCCCAGCCGTACTCCTCTTTACGTACGTCATGCATTGTAAAGTCTCTATATTCCGTATATTCCATCACAATCGGGCCATAGCGCCTTCACTTAAAAGTCACTGAACGAGTTAATGAATGAATGATGAAGCGATTACGAAAACGTGTATCTATAGTGTTCGGTTAAAATAGAACGAAGAATGAGTTGTATAGTTTCTTGATGCCGGTCGTTTCCCGTTGACGATGGCTTTGCAGTAGCTCGTTTTCGATTTTCCATAGCATGTTGGCGTTGGAGCGACAGAGGTGGTACTGGATGTGAGGTACCAGGCCGGGGAATATCTTGCTTGTGAAGCGGTTTCCGATGAGATAATTTCGTTGGCGATTAAGAATGGTCTCCATGGGGTACAGTTGATCGTTTTTGAACCGATATTGTCGATTCTGGTCCGGGCTTTATGAGTGCGGCCTCCTTCGGCAGCGGCTCACTGGTACTACGGCTCCTGTAATCGATTACGTAAATTATTTAGTACGAATAGTTTTATTTAGCGATTAGTGGTGGTAGGACGTTTTTTGAGTCCGCACGGGTAGGTACCACCGCCCTACCTATTTCTGCCGTGAAGCAGTAATGCGTTTCGGTTTGAAGGGTGGGGCAGCCGTTGTAACTATACTGAGGCCTTAGAACAAAAATCTCAAGGTGGGTGGTGGCATTTACGTTGTAAATGTCTATGGGCTCCGGTAACCACTTAACATAAGGTGGGCTGTAAGCTCGTCCACCCATCAATGTAATAGTCAGGAATAGACCTGACTAAGATCTGATATTGTTCAACAATTCGCATTCAAATTTCGGATGTGACAGAACTCGACCGGTGTAACCGGGGGGTAAAGTGACGCATTTGGCGCATCGTTCCCCGCCCCCCAACCCCGACGGGTGGCCTTACCGGGGGATGCGTACTTTATATGGTTCCGCTACATTTTTATTGAATGCTTCGATCGGTGGAAGATTTCACGCCCTACTTGGTGTTAAGAGTTTAGAGGAGCCTCTCTCTTTCTCTCTCTCTCTACCACCAGTAAGAAAATAAAAGTACCATTACATTGGTCAGGAACTTTTTATTGCCCTTGTAGGCAGACGAGCATACGGCCCACCTGATGGTGAATGGTTACCGCCGCCCATGGACTTCAGCAATGCCAGGGGCAGAGCCAAGCCGCTGCCTACCGCCGGTGTTCGAATCCCGCAGGCGGGTACCAATTTTTCTAATGAAATATGTACTCAACAAATGTTCACGATTGACTTCCACGGTGAAGGAATAACATCGTGTAATAAAAATCAAACCCGCAAAATTATAATTTGCGTAATTACTGGTGGTAGGACCACTTGTGAGTCCGCGCGGATAGGTACCACCGCCCTGCTTATTTCTGCCGTGAAGCAGTAATGCGTTTCGGTTTGAAGGGTGGGGCAGCCGTTGTAACTGTACTTGAGACCTTAGAACTTATATCTCAAGGTGGGTGGCGCGTCTACGTTGTGGATGTCTATGGGCTCCAGTAACCACTTAACATCAGGTGGGCTGTGAGCTCGTCCAACCATCTAAGCAATAAAAAAAAAAAAAAAAAAAAAAAAACAATTTCGTACCGACTCATTGTTGTTGGACCTTGGGACCGTCGCGACGCGCAATTGGACGTACGTACGTATGCCGCTGATCCGACACAATTGGCCTAAGTAACTAATGACCGTCGTAGGGCTGATTGCTAAATGAACTGAAACTCACACGTACTCACTCGCTCACAAATGCGCAGGAATGAATTAACCGCTCATCTAATTTCGGTGACTATACATCGATTCTAAGCGTCCGTGGTTCGATAGACAAAAGACGCCCGATGTACGAATCTCGGAAACGGCTCCAACGATTTTCATAAAACTTAGCATGCAGGGGATTTCGGGGGCGATAACTCGATCTAGCTACGATTTATTTTCAGAAAATGTTGTTTTATTCGTGTTTTCTACAATCAACTCTTCCCGACATCTATTGGCGAATAATAATACTATTTTTCTTAATTGAGACCAACTAACCGCTTTAAAGACACAACAAGATGGCGTTATAAAAAAAATCATCATCTAGTTAATATTTATGTGTGTAAAGGAAAGTATGAACATCATTTTCAATGACTGCAAGACGTCAGATTAATTTGAAAATTCGCACACGCGTCTAGGACCGATAACAAAACAATGATCTTGTAACTTCGCTCCAATAATTTGACCATTATCGACAGGATATAAAAAAAATATTGCATATATGGGTGGACGAGCTCACAGTCCAGCAGGTATTACGTGGTTACCGGAGCCCATAGACATCTACAACGTAAATGCGCCACCCATCTTGAGATATAAGTTCTAAGATCTCAGTATAGTTACAACGGCTGCCCCACCCATCAAACCGAAACGCGTTAATGCTTCACGGTTGAAATAGGCAGGGTGGTGACGGTGGTGGTACCTACCCGTGCGGACTCACAAGAGGTTCTGCCATCAGTAATGAATATGAAATTAAACATTAATTCCGTCTGCTATTAAAGCCCGTTTTTCTAGTTTTTAAACTAAATACATTGGTAAAAGTTCCTCATTCACGTGTGAGACTCGTAAAACTTCCTAGATTGGGGTAAAAAAACATTCAAACCTGGCTTTAAGTTAGAACTAACGCTTTTTCGAAGTACTCTATGCTCTGAGCGTCTTCCCTATAAATCATTGCACAAATATTAAAGTATTTCTAAAGCTAAATTAACTCTGCCAATGCCAGTCCCAGGATGAGGAAAGGGGAGGATTGAGTTGGAGTTCGATCTTTCCACCGTAAAACAGTCAACACCGAATATTGGGCGACGGTTAATTAGCCGGACCCAAATAAGGCTTCAGCGGCCTTGAAGAACTAAATCTCTCCCAAAAGCACTGCCGTGTAAAGGACGCAGGAGCCCACCACGTGTATTTTCCCAAGAAAGCCTCACGAGGCCACGACCCTCAGCATTGAGGGTTATCGACGCAAGGAGGAGGAAACTTAAATTAAATACAGTTTTATTGGTACGACAAATCTATAAATATGTAAACCTGATTTATTTAAATAATCAAACATTTTTGTATTCCGTATTATAAGCGCCTATTAATTTAATCTATATCTTGGATTCGATACGCTTTTAGTTATTTAGTATGGATAATGGATAATATTGTTTTTTTTTTTTTCGAGAGAAGTATTTGCCGTGCGGCAAGCGTAAAGCTCTAATCTATACTAATATTATAAAGCTGAAGAGTTTGTTTGTTTGAACGCGCTAATCTCGGGAACTACTGGTCCGATTTAAAAAAAATATTTCAGTGTTAGATAGTCCATTTATTGAGGAAGGCTATAGGGTATATAAAATCACGCTAAGACCAATACAAGCGGAGCGCCAATAAAGAATGTATGACAGAATTTTCCCGTTTAAAAGACCTAAAAAAAAGTCAACGACAGCATATGTCTATATGTTAAGGATGGCTCACTATAACGTTTTTTATGCCAATCAAATTTGTTCTAAAATAAAGCATTATTTGTGAACCACGCGGACGAAGTCGCGGGCAAAAGCTAGTCACATTATAAAGGTTTCATACGTAACAGACAAGTGCCAGGGCCGAAATAAAAAAAAAAGTATCATACATTATCTGTGAACGTTACCGAAATCAAAATATTAAAACAATGTTTTTTCCCCCAGGCTATTCGCTGACAGCCTAAGGGGTTATTGCAGCTACGCCCGGACGGGTAAGTGAGCTCACGGGCTCAACCTGATAGAATTTGCTAACACTAGCCTTAGCAAGAGTAGTGCTCATTCGCGAAGCAGTTGCTCTTGAGTTGTTAGGTCTTCTTTGGAGGCGCTTGGGAAGCTGTTAGCAAATCCCACCCCTCCTGGCGGAGGTTTTGCTCGCCCACCTGTCTTGGTAAAACTGAAAAGGCCTCTCAGCCACCAGTAATCCCTCATTCATAAAAAAAGTAGTGCTTCGTAGGATCTACCACCGGATCGGAACCGCGACCCGCTGAGAAGATCCAGCGAGAAACTCAATGGGCAATTTTTTATTCAAACATGTCTGCCTCTTCAATTTTTCACTAATGCTCCTTATGCAGAAATTTACATGTGCGCGGTATGTATAAATGCGACGAATTAAAATGTAACTAGATAATGACATGAAGGAATAATGCGTTTCGGTTGGAAGGGTGGGGCAGCCATTTTAACTATACTGGAACTTAGAACTTATGTATGCAGGGGCAGCCATTTTAACTATACTGGAACTTAGAACTTATGTATCTATCTTTAGGTGGGTGGCGCATTTACGTTGTAGATGTCTATGGACTCCGGTAACCACTTAACACCAGGTGGGCTGTGAGCTCGTCCACCTATTTAAGCAATAAAAAAAAGAGGTAACTTACGCGCACTGTTCACACGAGTAATCATTACAATGCGGGTGGTTTTCTTATTGCAACCTCTTAAGATTTGTGGTAATATTCACGTTGTTGATGTCCATGAGGTCCGGTAACCGCTTAACGCCAATTGGGTTGTGAGTTTGTTCACCCCACTAATCAATAAAGTATGTTAACTAGTTCAAAATTCCATACTCAAGAGCTTCCAGCGATAATTGTATCTTGTATTAAGGGTGTAACACATATATCAGAGAAGAACAGATATCCGAAGCGGTCGTATACTATACATATTTAACAAAGAATATAGAAATAGTATTATTAACAACAATATAGTCATATAATACAATCAAATAGAGATGTCGCATCCATAATTAGTGTTACTAGAATACAAAATAAATTCCACACACAATAAAACCGTGACTTTTTTGTACGCATTGCTCAGTTTCCATAGAATTTCGATAAATTTACATAGATAACGCAAAGTTTTTCAATATTTCACTACAACCTCACCTTGTCTCAATCGAGTCCTTAGCAACCCACGACACAAACTGAAGTCCAAGTATTAAATATTTTTTTTATTACAGTGAAGCCGTATTGGCAAATATCCACATTAAAACAGCCATAATGCGTCCATCGGCGTCTTTCGAATACATAATCGAAAACAACTTAATCCACCATCTTAATTTGCCCCAACTGACATTGAAAAGCGCGGGAGCAGAATTCGTTTTTCGAAATTTCGATTTTTTTTTTAATCGTTCGAATTTTAGGTCGCCAAGTCCGCATGCGCACTGACTGAGGGGTCTGTTGCTAAATTGATGCCGCGGAGATGGTCAATTGAATAAGTACGCAATATTGTCATTAATTCGTTGGCCAATAGCGTGGTACGGAGCGTCGTGTGGATGTCGGGAATTGGGTCCACTTGGCCGGGTCAAGACGTTCGGGATCGTCTTGTACTTTTTATGTTTTGCATACAGGTTCTGTATACAAACTGAGTTTTTATAGTGGTTGAGTCAAAGGTGGAAAAGGAAAGAGACCCCGCAGCCGATCACCTAGCCGCTGGTGTTGCCAAATAACCA